TACCTTCAAAATTATAAATCCACCCGGGTGGAACCAAATCTAATTCTTTCCCTAATCTTTCCCAATGTTGTTGCTGAATGTGAAGTCATCCCTGTGGTCAGGAGGGATAAAGGGAAAAGAGATGAGCAGTTGATGAGTATTTGTGATTCCCTGTGTGCGATTATTCATCTAAGGTCGCAGAGACAGAAACGCCGAGCTTTCGGGAAACTGTCTAACTCTAATGCCTCAGAGAAGGAAGAGGTTGGCTAGATTATATGGGCCATGATAAAAGGGTCTCGTTTGTACCACTATCTACTGGCATTTGGGAGGGTGTTGTGAGGGTCGGGCTAGACAATAAGGAGTGCATTTTCTATAGAGAATTTAAACAATAATAAAACAAACTAAATGGACCTGGCTTTGGGCATCACCATGTGCTGGCAATGTTTAGTAATGCAGTGATGAAATTCTCTCCAACTCAAGGGCAGGCCTCTCCCACCACCCTCCTCACACCTCTTGGAACACCACTGACCCTATTCTCTTGTCCAGTGCCAGGCACAGGGCAGGTATGAATCACGGAGAAATGCTAAGGTGAGAAATAAGAATATAAAACTCTCCTCTTTCCCAAAAATTCCTCTGTTGCTTTTCCTATTGACTTTTTTTTTTTTAAACATCATATAAACTTCCCATAGTATTTCGTACATCTCTGGTCCTTATTAAAATTCTGTGTTATATTGTAGATGCCATAGCTCAAGGAAAACGTCCATTCAATGAGGACAGACAAAAGTAATGAACAAGGGCTGGCCAATGAGACATATGGAAAAAGTTCTGAAAGACCTGTGATTACGGACCTTAACAAGAGGAGCTTAAAGGGTTGAAGTCCTTGCACACGATGTGGTATATTAAGATAGTGATCAGAGAGACTCCGTTTTCCTAGAAGCATGATGGGCTTAATATATAACAGAGGTTCTATGTCAGGGATGTCTTTCTCACATCAAGGAAAGCTGAGCCCTATAAAGGGATTCCAGAAGTCTTAGTTTATCAGAAGGTTGGAGAAGTATGTTTGCCACTAAATTCAATCTTCGATGACTGTTACGTACTTTCCAAAGCATTAAATTAATACTTTGGATTAGTATACTTTGGATTAGTGTGTTTCGTATACTGCTTCAATGATAGGAGAAGGGTCACCCACAGAGGTAAAAGGCAATGGGGAACCTTGGGTGATAATGATTTGTCAGTGTAAGTTTACTGATTATAACAAACGTACCACTCTAGTGGGGCGTGTTGATAATGGGGGAGGCTGTGCGTGTGTGAGGGCTGGGGGTATGCGGGAAATCTCTGTACTTTCTGCTCAATTTTGCTGTGAACCTGAAACTGCTCTTAAAAATAATCTTTAAAAAGCTAATGGGGGAGAGGGAAGAACTATTGCCGCTGCATAAAAAGAATTGGTTTCATTTGCATGGTGCTGTAAGACTTACATTGTGGGTTTGTTTTCTCATGTGATTCTCTGAAACTAGAAGGACAGGTGCCCTTATTTCCATTTTTCAAGGTGAGGAAACTGAAGGTCAGAGAGCTGAAGTGATGTGTCTTAGTCTAAAGAACAAATTAGCAGTAAAGTGAGGTCTTTTTTTTTTTTTT